TCATTCATAACGGATCTGGAGGTTTTTGTATACTATTTGAATTGTTTGCGATGATGGATGTCTCGCCATTTAAAGCATTAACCTTTGCATTAGTTTTGTGTGAATAATTCATCTATATATATATATATATATATATATATATATATATATATATATATATATATATATGGGGGAGGTGTACTTAGTGTATTGGGTTAGCAGATCATTATTCAAACATATATTGTTAAATATAACAGACAACGAATTTATGTTCGATCATGAGCCGTTCTAAATTCCATATAGTGGTTTTAGCTTCGGGAGAAAATAAAGACAAAAAAAACTGTCCAATGCTTGAATATTTTTATTATGCCGTTCCTTGATATAAGCTTTCGGCTCACATGAGCCATCTAAATGTCCATATAACCACTCTGAAGATGGCCCATGTAAGCCGAAAACTTAGATTAAGGAACAGCATATTAAAAAATATCCAATTGTTGGACAGTTTTTGTCTTTATTTCATTCCTACATTGTTTTTTTTATTATCTTCATTGAATATTTTTAGGCTGATAGAGTTTGTTGAAATTCTTTTATTTACATATATGGGTATTTGCTTGAATACGATATAGGTAGAATTTTTGTTTATGTTAAGCTGTTTGGTTTTCCGTATGGCTTGTAGGTTCCGTTTTTTAAGTTGAATGTTATATCTAAGAAGTTTATTATTTTTTGTTTGAACTATTGTAATCCTAAGGTTCTCAAGGTGTTATTATTTCTTGTATTATTTTATTGTATTTCTGCCTTTACAGTTTCTTAGAATTAATAGACCACCGTCTATGTATAGACCTATATCTTTTTTGTTAGTACAATTTGTTAATTCATTGATTATGTATATGCTTATGAGTTTGCATATATCTGCACAATCATAGCTACCCGTTGTTACATCAAATTTATTATTATTACTATTATCATTATTATTAATTCTTATTATTATGGCTCTCTTCTGTCCATATTTTTATTTTGGGAAATATTGATTTTTGGCAGTGTTTAATTATATTTATGTCCTCATTAAGGATAGTCAAGTATTGCTTTGTTAAGTTTAATGCGTTGTTTAGTGTATGCTCATTAACAGATGGGTAGAAGTCTTTTATGTCTAATTGTGTGAAGGAGCAGTTTTCATTATTAATGCTATTAAACTAATTGATTGTACTTGTAGTATTTTTCCATTGATTTATAGTATTCTTAGTTTTGAGCATATTTTTTCTAATATTTGTATGCTTATTTTCCCAATATTGCTTTATGTGGTGTTTAGTAATCTGCACGTTGGTTTGGTCGTGAAGTTGTCCTTATGGTCTTTTAATTTAATAAATGGTTCTACTTTTGATAGTTGATTTATTCTATTGTTTAATTTTAGTTTAGTGTCTATGTTTTTAGTTTCCATATTTATATCACTTTTTCTTTCGTTATCAGCTGTTATGTAAAATTTAGTAACTTTTTTATCAACTAGTTTATTGTAATTGTTGGTTTCCATTTTATAGATTGTCTTGGACTTATCTGCTTTTATAAATAGTTTTTTTTTTAGTTGTTTATCATTGTTTGATGGTTTTCAAGTATTGTTTTTGGGAAATTATCATTGAATTTTCTAATTTCCAAATTATTGACTATGTTTGTTAAATCATTTTCAAAAGCAATGATGTCGCTTTGTTGAGGTGGGCATTTCGTTGATGTAAATCCAAATTTGTTAATATTATTGATATATTACTTTAAACGTTATTTTACTGGGTACAAGTGCATATGTTGCTATCGCTGTTTTCTCTATTTTATTTTATCAAACAGTGAAATTAATAATAGAAATTGAGAAATTGTTCCTTTGACGGAAATCGAACCTGGATTCATTTTTCACATCAGGGAAACAACTTTTGAGCCAAAGCACACGCGTACACACGTACACACACACACACACACACACACACACACACACACACACATATATATATATATATGTAAAAGAACGAAAATAAAAAATTCAAACGTACATAACATTAATTTTTAAAATGGATAAATACAAGAATAGAGCAATAAATATTTACTATAAACTGTTACATTAGATCATGCAAGTTACTACTACAGAATTGCATATTTTTGTTTCGACGTTCAACACGTCTCATCAGGTAAGAGAGAAACAAAATATGAAATTTGTAGTAGTAACTTGTATGTTCTAATGTAACAGCTTATAATATATATATATATATATATATATATATATATATATATATATATATATATATATATATATAATATTCTCACCGGTGGCAGGACTCAGAGTTCCATGCACAACGCAACCTTTAGGTGGTGAGTAAATATATGTATGTATGTACTTATGTGTGTGTGAATGTTATATTGTATCTCTAATACATTTCCGTTCCCAAAACCATTTTCGAATCTTTCTAAATTACATGCTGTGAATGTGTGAAATAGCGATGGGAACACCTTGTTGCTAAATTTACGGTGGACAATAAGCTTAACAACAAAATCTACGTATTGTCTTAATGTGTCGAATAAGTTACAATATCAGACAAATCATTGGCCTAAAACAGCGTTTTTCTATTCGATATTCACGCCAGAAATACAGAAGGGATTGTACGAGAAAATGAAATATTCTTGTTGGCGAACGATTAACAGATAAAGTTTCTTAAAATATCTGATGGACTAAAAAAGAGAGGCTTATTTTTCTCTCGATCACTTTCCTTGTTCGTTTAACAAGATCCTGGTTACTGACAAATATGCTTTCGCAGATTTCTTACCATCTCCAGTTGAAAGCAGACTTGTTAATACACGTGTTTAAAATATACAGTCAAAGAAGTGCCAACAAGAGATGTGCATTTGTTAAGTGGGTAATTAAGCTTTACTTCATTATAACGGCATTCCGTAGCCAAATTGTCAACAACAATCTTCGGCTATACGATTGGATTCAATGATGGAGAAAGGGAATACAGGGTTGTTTCCCGTCGGGATGCACTTTTTTTAGTAAGACTTCACGTATAGGCCAGATGTCATTAATTTCACTGTTAAAGGTTATCGTAGGCGGAGGTGATAGAGGAGACAAGCTCCCACTGTCTATAAAATACTCCCGTAGAGAATGGACGAAAGCGGAATACTGGCGCTTCATGACCAGATGCTCCAGGTAGATGGAGTTCGACAGCCAAGGAAGGCGGTCTATCTAGGGGAAGGAAGACTTGCGTAAATACGCGATATTGAAAAATGAACACTCAAACCACAATATTTGAAAATGAAACCAACTCAGTAACAAAAAGCCAAAACGCCAAAAGTCTTTGGTAATGGCTAACGATAGCCAAAAGACATAGAAAAATATATCTGCCTATATTTCTGAAATGAAATGTTATGTACACTATTTACATTATTAGAACTATTGTCATCATCTTTGTTGCCATATTTATCACAACGTTTCGGCTGTTGTACGCTCCGGCCTTCTTCAGGTGGTTGGAATTCCCCTCTCCAAGTTCTCCACCGCCTTAACTAGGTATTGAACTCACACTCTTTTGGTCCTGTCACTGGATCTAACTAACGCCTTTATCAAATGCGCCATGTGTCCTGAAGGACACATGGCATAATAGATAAAGGCGAATTAACAGGAGATAACTGATAACTGACATCCATTAGACATGGCACGTGGAACTAGAACAGTCTACCCCAGCGAGCGAAATAAAGGATTCAGTTCGACATTCCAACCACCTGAAGAAGGCCAGAATGTACAACGACCGAAACGTTGTAATAAATATGGCAACAAAGATGAGGGCAATAGTCCAAATAATGTAAATAATGTGAAAAATATATGTTTGCATATGATCCTAAAATAATAATAATAATAATAATCGAAAAATTTTGTGGATTCCTTACCATCTCCAGTTAAAAAATAACTAATGGCCTTTTTTTTATTTCTTTTAACAAGAACCAAGTAACCTTATCTCATTTTTAATGGATTCAGGAAAAAAACTGTCCGAAATCCCGCCATTTATTCATAGGCACAAGTTCACTGTGCGTATGATAAAATTGCCCACTTCTTTCAGCTCTGGAAATTCTTCAAGAAGATCCAAATGCTCAGATCTGACAGTTTCCAGTTGGGAGTTAATAAAATGATGTACGCCTGGCAGGACATCAATAGCCAACTAAATTCTGACGAAGAGCCGACGAAATAGCGCCGCCCCAGATAATATGGCCGCCTAATCGCTTAACACTGTCACGTGTCAAGTATAATGGTCGTCGATCCATGACCCATGACCTGTCAAACCGAGGTTGGGACGGGTAGTTTTTCTCATGAACCCAAAGATGTTCCTTCCCTTTATTCTCTCTCTTTCTCTTTCACTCAATCTAATATATATATATATATATATATATATATATATATATATATATATATATATATTTGTGTGTGTGTATGTGTGTGTGTGGTTTATTCTGTCGCAGACAAAACCGCCATACATTTTTGCTTGGCTTTTATTACTTCTTCATGTCTCTTCTGTATGGCGTTATTGATTGTGGCAGGTTTGTCGTTTCTGACGAGGGTGATTTGCCGGTTGCTATGAGAAAACTGCCCTAGGCAGCCGCTCAGGTGGATGACAAGTTGAAAAGGAAGGAAGAATAATAGCAAAGAGAGAAATAAAACATGAATGCATGAAGATTTGCAAATAAAAAGGAAGGAAGGAAGGAAGGAAGGAAGGAAGGAAGGAAGGAAGGAAGGAAGGAAGGTATGCAAAAAAGAAAGAAAGAAAGCATTAATACATGAAGATTTGTAAAAAAAATAGCACGTAAAAAACAAACGAAAAAGAAAAACGAAAATAAAGAATGACGTTTTACCAATAAACGAAAAAAAAAAAAAAAAAAGAATGAAGGAAATATGTAAGAAAAGACGAAAAGAAAGCAGTAATACATAAAGATAGGGAAATGAAAGAAAGAAAGAAAGGAAGAAAGAAAGAAAGAAAGAAAAACGAGAGAGAGAAAGGAACATACTAAGAATGAGAGAGAGAGAAAGAAAAAAGAAAGAAATAGAAAGAAAGAAAGAAAGAAAGAAAGAAAGAAAGAAAGAAAGAATTCCTTAATACATGAAAAGAACATTTGGAAACAAAATAAATAAAGAAAGAAAGAAAGAAAGAAAGAAAGAAAGAAAGAAAGAAAGAAAAACGAGAGAGAGAAAGAAACATACTAAGAATGAGAGAGAGAGAGAAAGAAAAAAAGAAAGAAATAGAAAGAAAGAAAGAAAGAATTCTTTAATACATGAAACGAACATTTGGAAACAAAATAAATAAATAAAGAAAGAAAGAAAGAAAATAAAGTATTTTCAAATTGAAAAATTGCAACAATATCAAAGAAATATTAGAAAGAGAAAAATAAATAACAATACATTAAAATATTATTTAAAAATTTGTATAGTTATCAACAATACATTTTTATCTAAAAAAACATACATTTAACCATAAAGTATAAAATTATGTACAAAATATATAAAAAAGAAAGAAAAGAAAAACAAAAAGAAAGAAAGAATGAATGAAATATGTAAGAAAAGACGAAAATAAAGCAGTAATACATAAAAATCGGGAAATGAAAGAAAGAAAGAAAGAAAGAAAGAAAGAAAGATGGAAATAATTCCTTAATACATGAAAAGAAAAATTGGAAATAAAAGAAGAAAGAAAGAAAGAAAGAAAGAAAGAAAGAAAGAAAGAAAGAAAATAAAATATTTTCAGATTGGAAAAGTGCAACAATATCAAAGAAATATTAGAAAGTGTAAAATAACTAACAATACAACATTAAAACATTATAAAAATACATTTTTATAGTGAGATTACCTACAATACATATTTATCTAAAAAAAACAACATACGTTTAACCTGAAAGCATAAAATTATGTACAAAATATTTGTAGTTAAAGGCATAAAATTACGCTCAGAACATATGCAGCGGAAGCCATAAAATTGCATACAAAATATTTACATTTCAACATTTATGAACAAAACGGTAAATGGAGAAGAGGTGTTATGAAGAAACGAAAGTATCAACACTTGAAGAAAGAAAGAAAGAAAGAAAGAAAGAAAGAAAGAAAGAAAGAAAATAAGGATAGAAAATGAATGAAAGTGGGAGAAAAAAAAAAGCATGTCTAAAGCAAAGACGAGTTTGAAGAAAAGGAGAAAAAAGAGCAAGTCGTAAAACTAGAAACTGATGGACAAATGCAGTTAAAAAGTTAGCAAAAGGAAGGAATTGGAAATAAGGAATGTTGGTGGGTGAGGAAAATTAGAAAAAAGTTGAATTTTTTTAAAAAATCGAAAGGAAAGGAGAAATTTAAGAAAATCTGATGTGCATAAGGATACAAACAATTTATTTTCACGACAAGACAAAAAGAAATATTGTAAAAAAATAATTATGAAATGAGAGAAAAGGAAAAACCCGAAAGGAATAAGAAAACAAATAATAATAATAAAAAACTAATACAATGAAAAAGAATTATGAAAAATCGAACAAACAAAGGAAGGAAGGAAGGAAGGAAGGAAGGAAGGAAGGAAGGAAGGAAGGAAGGAAGGAAGCTATAAAGAAAAGAAGAACAGCAAGATAAAGAAAAGGAGAGACAAAAAAGCGAAACAAATGGAGGGAGAGATAAAACAAAGAAAAAAGGATGCAAAATAAGCAGAAAGAAAAGAAGGAAAATCACAGTAAGGTGGGTCAAAGGAATACGAGGAAGGAAAAATGGAACGAGACAAAAGAAGGAAATAAAAAACATGGACGAAACAAAGGCAGATCGAAAGAAAGCAGATACAAAGATTGTAAGGATTGAAAGAAAAAAAGAAACAAACAAAGCAACAGACAAAACAGACGAGACAAAGAAATGGAAGGAAAGAAGGAAGGAGATATAAAAGAAAGAAAGGGACCGAAATAAATAGAAAAGCAAAGCAGAGACTAAGGAAGGAAGGAAAGAAAGAGAGAGAGAGAGAGAGAGAGAAAAAGTAAAAAAGTAGAAGCAAAGGATAGAAAGAAAGATGGAAAGATGAAGAGACGAGGAAAGCGTGAACGAACGCAGAAACGACTGTATCACAAAGAAAGGAACGAACGAATGAGCAACAAAAGAAGAAACCAGGGAAAGAAACGGAAAAAATAAGTAGGACGAAAAGAAGGAGAAAACATTGACAAAGGAGAGAAAGAGAAACTAAAGAGAACAAGGAAGGAAGGAAGGCGGGAAGGAAGGAAGGAAGTAAAGGAAGGAAGGAAAAAAGGCAAAGCAATACATTTGAGGTAAAGGAAGGAAGTGAGGAAGAAAGGTAGGAGAGGCAAAGTAAGGAAAGAAGAAGAAGAAGAGACGAAGGAAGAAAGGAAATATGGATCATTTTCAGTTTCTCCTATTTTAATACATTTTGATACCTTTTAACAATTTCTAATCATCTTCATCCGAGTGCCTGAAGCAGAAATACAAATGCTTCACCGGACGATAACCCGGAAGCTATTGTCTCACATTTTTTTCTATTAGGGGGCGAGAACAAAGGTCACAGTGTGGGTGGAAGGGTCATAAAATAAAAATAGTCTATAAGCAAATACACTACTAATAAAGTGAGTACCCTAGGAGACTGAAATAATCAAATCAATAGAACTCTTTCTTGCGGGGGAAAAAGAATGATTTCCTTTTCTTGATTACCGTTGTTTGCAGGTGTTGAAGTTTCTTTTGTCTTTTTTGAACTTTTTGACTCATTTGTTCAAAAATTCTTCTTCCGTTTCTCATTTATTGTCGGAGTTTCTTTTTTCTTTTTATTTTCTTCATTTTCTTTATTTCTTTCTCTCCTCCCGCGTGTGTGTGTGTGTGTGTGTGTGTGTGTGTGTGTGTGTGTGTGTTAATCTGTTAAACATTTGGATATTTTCTTTATGTCATCAATTACATCTTTATGCCGAGAAAAATTTCTTCTTTATTATCCTCTTCTCCCTTGACGTCTTATTTACCTCCTTCCTTTACCTTCAGTCTTCTCAACCCCTCTCTAAAACATCAGTTAAAACCAGTTATCTGTATACTTTCCTAACACACACACACACACACAGAGAGAGAGAGAGAGAGAGAGAAATACACACACATACATATAAATACATACATACAAATATATATTTAATATTATAAACGTTATTTTTAGTCGGTATGAATGTGCAAGCAGTGTATACAAGTATAAGAGCCGAGATCGAATTCTAGTCGGATTCATTTACGCGCAGTTAGCCTTGGGAAGGGTATGAATCTATCTGCTACTCCCCGCTATAGATTAAATAGTAGTACTTGTATCTGTAAAAGTGATTGATATTCTAAAGACAATTGTTAATGTAACGTTTACTTACATTAAAAGAATTATTCAACCTGCCTAGATCACGGAATAAGAAACGCACAGCTGATAGGAATCGAAACCGCATTCCTTTTCCACATGAGAAACACTACACCTACAATTGAAGCGTACCATTACCAATTCAAACTACATCCGGCAGCGACCTCTGATTAGGAGATTGGAGATTTTGAGTAGCGTGGAACCATCTCATAATTACTGTTGTTCCCAAGTTCACGCTGACTCGGGGTGGTAGCACCTGTTAGGGTCCCAGCTTTGGGCAAATAGTGAACCCTCCACCCAAACAATATACGATGAGAATATAAAAATACATTTTTGTAGTAAAAGTACCAGCAATACATTTTTATATCAAACAAATTACCAACAATACATATGTATAGTAATATTACCAACAATACATGTTCATATTAAAATTACAAACAATACATACTCATAGTAAAATTAACAACAATACATATTTATAGAAAACTAGCAGCATGGTCCGGCGTTGCACGTGCTTGATTCAAAAATCGTACGACTCACACAGCAATCGCTACCACTTGACTTAAAATATTTTTGCCCTTCCTTGCCTTTAAAGGAGTGCCCTTTGCCGTGCTGATGTTGCTACATAGCTTACTTTTTGCCTATCTCACACTGCGAATTTTTTCTAAGTTCTATACTAAACATTAAATCTGTTACAAAAAAAGAACTAAACAAAATGAACACAAAACGATCAGCTTTAAAAAAAAGGACTCGTAACTGGAAAAACCGTATGAAAAAAGAATGTTAACAACAAATACTTTTTCACACCCAACCCAGTTCTGCGGAATCAGAATCAATGTTGAGTTTAAGCAAGCGAATGAGGATAAGCCTGTTGCATTTTTTTAGGTTTACGGCGCTTGCAAACGTATTTTACAACTAGATATTAAAAGAATTTTTCTTATGAATGAGGGTAGTTGGGTGTGTTATGTGCTTTTTTTTTTATCATATCACTGTGATTGATCAAACGCCTGCTTATAGAACACTAGCAGTAGAGCCCGGCGTTGCCCGGGGATGTAACAGTAAGAGATAGATCAAGTATCGACCATCATAAAGACTGAAAAATAAAATTGACAAAGATTATTATTTGAGGTTGACAGACACGCATGTCTTAATTAGTTTTTTTTTGTTTTTTTGTTTTTTTTTTACGAATTGGTCAAACCCAAACTCAAACAAAAACATTGTTTTCAATCGTTATGAGTCTATCGATTGAATAGAATTTCATTATAAACAATTGTCTTGTAAATGGAATTTTTAAAGCATTCTGAATGTAAAAATAAAGAAAAAAGTGTTCAAGACAATAAGAAACACTACCTGCCAAAAAAAGTGAAGTTTTTTTTTTAAATCGGTTGAAAAATGTAGGAAATCCGATCCCATATATAAACGAACACACACAAACAACCTGGGTTTTATAATACGTATAACTCGATATGAGTTGTCCCCCTTCATTCTGGCGACAGAATCGTGTTTTATCGTGTTTTCAAATTGATTTCATGCAAAAACAATTGTTTTTTCAATTTTTGGCGCTGTCAGAACCACCGCAAGGTAATTTTACGCAGTCCTGTGAAGTTTTGTTGAAATCGGTTGAAAAATGTAGGAAATCCGATCCAATATATAAACGTACAGACACACACACACACGCACATACAATCTGCGTTTTATAATAAGTAAGGCCAAAGAAGTCGTTTTTATTTTTGTTGCTGTTGCATATATATTGTAATGAAAAAAGTACGCAGGTGTAGGCATTAAGGAGGCTTTATTTACCCTAGAATACATGGTTCACGTATAATGTCCTTTGATTATTCATAACATATATATATATATATATATATATATATATATATATATATATATATATATATATGATTGTAGGAAGAGGTTTTAGTCTGGCAGCAATGTCCTAAGAATATTAGGCTTGATGAATGTAGGTGGATTTGATTTATATTTATAAAAAGTGTTAGAGATTATACGTGATACAGATGGTTTGTCAACAATGGCATTTCAGAACAGATTTTCTACATCAAATGATAGTAATCCTCACAAATCCTTACAAATTAAAATTTACTTTTCTGAAACGTTATTGGAAGAAGCTTAAGTAACTTAAAATTTGAATTAATCTGAATTAAACAATTATTATTTTTAGTTTAAAATATCACAAAAATGCATTTTTTAACACAGAGGCGGTATTTTTATGAGGAGTTGGGAGACTTATCCATAAATTAATGTATAATGTATATTTTTTTTTAACTAATACAACGCCTTTTTTATATAATCATTTTTCACTACGCAGTGATCTTAAAAATTTATGAAAATATTATAAGTAATCTAATATTTTATTGAATTTTAGGTACTTTGACGAAGACACTTATGGAGAAATTTTAGAACATAGATATGTGTGTGTGTGTGTGTGTGTGCGCGCGTATGTGTATAGTAATATTTGTCAGTGAAACCCGGATAGGAAATTCACCAGCGATCTGTCAGGAAAGTAACCTTGATGTTATCGGCCTGGGGAGAGGCATACCAGTGTGCGGCACCATATATATATATATATATATATATATATATATATATATATATATATATATATATGTCGTCAGCTCATCAGTGTGGCTAGACATTCGATTGCCTCAAGCCGAAATCGAAACCGGATTGATCTGGCATCAGTCAGAGATTTTACCCTAAGCTATCAGCTCCCAGTGGAAAGTGAATGTTTGCGTATTTATCATTTTGAATAAACACGTCAGCGACCTAGAGGGCGCAATTCCTGAAAGAGCTTTGCATTATCAGCAGTAGTAGTCACTGTTTACATATTCACGCTTTTCTCCAGAGTGCTCCACCAAAATTAAATTTTTCGGTGGCATGTATACATACATATATATATATATATATATATATATATATATATATATATATATATATATATTTTGTATGTGCATTACTCAGTAGAACGCGGTTAATATCAGTGATAGAGCTAACATATTCAGTTTCATGGATATATGGGTTTCACGCTTTTGTGATCATCAGACAAATGTCAGATAATTGCAAAATCGTGAAACCAAGAGTCACTAACTCATATCCATACAACTATATATATATATATATATATGTGTGTGTGTGTGTGTATGTATTATGCATTTAAGAGATGATCCCAGGGTATAGTAAAGTAGGAGAGTGCTTTAAAATCATATCAACTGATTTCAAAAGTTAAAATCATTGTGGAAACACTGTTGCCGAGATTAAGTAGAACGAAAAAGTCAGCTGATGGCGATCCCGAATGAGTGCTTCGAAGACTGTGGAAAGGACGTTGAGATAGGATGATGAATATCTAAAAAATTTCATTAATTTGTAGCGCTCAAGTGATATTGTTATTAAGTAAAAGCTATATTTACTAATC